CTGACTCAGGGGGACAGAGACCAGACCAGCCTCCACTGACTCAGGGGGACAGAGACCAGACCAGCCTCCGCTGACTCAGGGGGACAGAGACCAGACCAGCCTCCACTGGGGGAGCAGTCCAGTCGACTAAGGGGGGCAGCAGAGCTCATGGGGAGCCTGGGGTGAGGGTCTCGGAGTAAGTGAGTGAAGACTGACTGACCGGAGGCTGGCAGGGAGATGGGGAGCAGGAGAGCCAGGGCACAGACAGACACTGACCGTCTCGAGAGACTTGCTCCTCAGAATCAAGCTACTGCCCGACTGACCTGAGCTCAGAGCCTGGTCACAGCCAGCAGCTCCGGCCCAAGAGGGGTGAACACAGGGTTAAACAGGCAGGTACCCCCCAACTCGGCTACCACCCAGGGGACCTGTTACTCACCCAACCTGAACCCCCAATCCTGTCCCGAGACTCCTCTGTGCTGAACCCAAGCGTGTTTTCATTCGTTCAGTGCCTGCGAACTAACCTCCAGTCTGGTTGAAGCGTTGCCTTAGAATTTCGATACCAGCCTTGAAAGTCTGCTGCCAGCCAAGTAGAATCTGTGTGCCCCTGTTCCAGAAGTCGGGGTCCACTGCTCCCTTCACCCACTCCCGTCGAGGAATCATCTCCTTGATACTGCTGTCGTAGTAGTTCACCTGCTCCCCATCCACCATTCCCACTACCACAAACTCTGGGAATTCACTCATTCCCACAGTTGCAGTATAGATGTACTGGTACGAGTGAGTTCCTGGAACAACAAGAGACATGATCATGAAATGAGCAGGACCAGTGACAGAGAAAGGTGAATTACAAAGGGCGTATTCCGAAAAACAACGAGACACAGCTGTGCCTCGTCAGGAAACGATATATAAATGCCCTGGAAGCGGTGAACCGCGGCAGCAGCCAGTAGGTCCCTCCCCCTTAAGGGCGCTCCGGCTCTTTCACTTCGGACCTGATTCTGTGCACCTGCCCCCTGTTCCAGCCTCCTCCCAGCCCCCCTTAAAAGCCAGACGCCCACTCAGTTCGGGGCTCTGCACTGGTTTCTGCACCACGCGAGCCCGGGACCCGGATGTGCCTGGTTCCGTTATGGTTTTAAGTTTCTGTTCCTGTACCCCCTGCCGGTTCCGACCCAGTTCCCGTTTTTAACCGTCAGTCTCTGCTGGACTGCCCAGCTTTGGACCTTTTGCTTTCGTCCTGGATTTCGCATTAGACTCTGTTTTGGATCATTTGCCTCGACCACACCTCCCCCGACCACCAGCACTTCATGGATCGCCCCCCTGTTTCCATCCCCGTCTCCCGCATGCCTGTTTCCCTCATGTGTTCTCACTCGACGCCTTCGTTACAGCTTTGGAGGGGATAGAGGAATCAGGTTGGTGTTACGGAAGGACTGACGAATTATGGATTAACACAAGGGAAAAGGGATTAGGGTTTTCGGTTTGTGATTTGGATACGACGCCACAGTACTTACCTCCGTGAACTGTGAAGGTCCAGAATCAGGGGCAACAGCGGTGGACAAGGAGGGAAAAAAAACAAACAAACAAAACTTATTTTTAATTGTGAATTCAGCATTGAGCTTTGTGTGTTCTATGTGACTTGAGGTACACACGGTTATACAGGAACTGTTTCTCAGAACTACAGAGGGTGTGTACACAGGCAGTGTTTGAGAGTGCAGGTGCAAAAGTGAAAAAAAGTCTCGAGTTTAAAAGTGGGGACGATGGCTCAAGATTATAAAATGAAAAATTCATCTTATACAGAATGTTTGGATTAACCTCTTCTCAATGGAAAGAATTCTAAATTATCAGAAAACAGATCTGGACTGGGGACTTTATGATAGAGTAATCTTCTTACAGTACAGCAACACGGAGAGACAGGCTGGTGTCTTGAGGTCAGCTATGTCCTACTGGTCTAACTCACCATTGCCCACAGCCGCCCTCCTGCGTCTGGTCAGCGTCTTCAGGCACTCAGGACAGACCTGGTCCAGGACCTGCTCCACGCGCCTTCTGTTCGGTTCTGGGGGCAGATCGCTGGGAATCTGGCCCTCGGAGGTCCAGCTCCAGGAGTCCCTGTCCAGGGTGAAATCCTGCCCCTTGTAGGTCATGTTCCAGAATGAGCTGGTTTTCCCATCATCGCTCTGCCCACAGCCAAACTGCTGGCGGATTTCAGCTGCAGAGACAGTGAGAAGGCAGGGTAAGTACCCTGTGGGCACACTGTCACAGTCCTGTCTCCACAGGACAGTCTGGAACTCCCCGTGCTCAGGAGAGTGCTCCCTGGCCAGCTCTGCTCTCATGTCCGGCCTGTGTCAGTCCAGGAGGAAGGGAGCAGGTCACTGCCTGTACTGGACCGCAGTGACCCTGTGTGCTTTCAGGACACCTGTCCCCTCCCAGTGTGGACAAAGGACGGCTCTTCTGATCCTGTCTGAGCCAAGCGACAGCTCTGAGAGCTGTGTCTGATCTCCTGTCAGTATGAACTCACTGTTCAGCTCTCCTTCAGTAATGTCAGCTCTGTACTAACCTGTAGTGTTCAGCTCTCCTGCAGTAATGTCAGCTCTGTACTAACCTGTAGTGTTCAGCTCTCCTGCAGTAATGTCAGCTCTGTACTAACCTGTAGTGTTCAGCTCT